CATAATTGATGGTAATGTGTTGAAACAATCATTAATGGCTTAATTTTTGAGACTGTATATTCAACTACTGCATGAGCAATAGCTAACCCATCATGAGTGGATGTGCCTCTTCCTAATTCGTCTAATACAACTAACGAATTTTGTGTGGCATCATGTAGCATTTGGGCTGTTTCATCTAACTCTACCATAAAAGTACTCATCCCATGTAAAATATCGTCAGAGGCTCCAATACGAGTGAAGATATGATCAACAACTGACATGGTAATTTCTTCACCAGTACATCTCATACCCATTTGAGCCATAATAACAGCAAGACAGACTGTTCTTAATAGTGTAGATTTACCTCCCATATTTGGTCCAGTTAAAATAATAGTTTGAGGGTCAGTACCACCAAGAATAATATTAGAAGGGATAGCATTTGTTTTAGTTGATACAGTTAAATATGGATGTTTTAATTGTTTTGCATTAAAGTATGGAGTTGTAATGGATGTTGGTTCAGGATCTTTTCCATATGAATAAATCATTCCATTTTTAATGAAAGAAGGAACACATGATGTTTCCATTGATTGAGAACAGCGAGCCATTGAAACAAAACAGTCAATCAATCCAATATTAGTAATTGCTCTTGGCAATACTAAAGTACTTGACACCTCATTGATTAATTGATTAAATAAAGTATGATGAGAATCATTAATTTGTTTTTCATTTAAATCATACTCTGTTTGGATACTACTGACTTTAGAACTCATGAGACGTGCTTCACTTTTGATTTTATTGGCTTCAGTATATCCACTAGGTAATTTAGCATGTTTTTTTAGATAAGATTCATATTGTTTAATCGGTAATGCAATTAAATGATCATCACCTCCAATATTTACATACTTTGCTTCTCCAAAGATTTTTTTAATTGAAACTAATTCTTTAGCAAATTCATTTTCTAATTCATTTCTTCTTTCAAAAGCATGATCTATTTCTTCATTATATCCATTAAAGAAGGTAATGGCATGTTCTTCTTTTGCACTTGTAAAATCATATATACCTTCTAACTTAGAAATAAATTCTTCAAGGTTAGGATATCCTAAATTGTTTTTATCTAAAACAATTGTTTGAAGTACCTCTGGCATATCTTTTACTATAGTCTTTAATTCATTCATTAATTTTTGACATGTCTCAAATCCTGATATCATACGAATAAAATTAGACTCAGTTATTGTTGATGATGTGCATTGACTTAATAATCGTTCCAGATCAGGTATCACTCTTAAAAATGTTCCTATTTGATCAATCAAATCATTATTTTCTAAAAAGAATTCAACCACTTCTTGTCTATGAAGAATCTTATTAACATCCATTAATGGTTTTAATAAAAATCTTTCTCGTAACATTCGTTTACCAAATGCTGTAAAACAATTGTCTACAAAATGAAGCAGTGTACCTTCTACTTCTTTTCCTTTACTAGCAAATAAAGCTAAATTAACAATACTCTGTGCATCAACAATAAGATAGTCTTGAGACAGTGTTGTATATTCTCCAAAAGTTCCATTAATTATTGTTGTCTTTGGGACTAATAAAGTAGTAAAATAATTATAAAGAACAGTAAAAGCAGTCATTACTTGATCATTAGTACTATATTTCTCAACAACTTTAGGTACTCTTCCTCTGTCAGCAAATAATGGCAATACTCCATTGATATCTTCAGGCTCTTTTACATATGTTATTTCTGCAAATTTAAGATTTTTACAGATATGAGCAATATCATCTGAAATACTATTTAATAATAATATTTCTTTTGGATGTACTCTATGTAATAAAGTATGAAGACTATTATGTAATTCTGTATCTTCTAAGTATCCTAAGAATATTCTACCTACAGAAACGTCACCATAACATACTCCAACATTACATCCATTTGATATAATAGCCATACAAAACATATCACTAGTATCAGAACATAACTCTGGTTCTGTTGCAGTAGAAACAGTATATATTCTTGTCAACTCTCTACGAACAATGTTTGGTTCTCTTTTGCCATTGACAATTACAGTTGCTCCTCTTTTCTTTGATTCTTCTGAAGTTTCTTTTTCATCTACACAACCTATTTTATATCCTAATTCCAGTAATTTTGATGCATATGTATTGAATGATGCTTTTGGTACACCAGCCATTCTCATATTAACTCTATTAGTAATTTTAAGTCCTAATTCTTTATTACCAATATCAGCATCATTTTCATATAATTCATAAAACTTTCCTTTAGCAAAGAAAATTACAACATCATAATTATCTTTCTTTATGTTCCAATACTGTTTTTCAAATGGTGTCATTTTCATCAAACAACTTGCAGGAATAAATAATGTAGATGGATCATATCCTTGCTCTCCAATACTTTTCTGATTTTTATCCTTGATATTAATTAGAAAGGAGTATCTCTCATTTCCAATTTCTGTTTCTATTTGTTTATGTAATTCTTCTCGTTTAGTTGTATTGAACATTCCATCTTTAAACTTTAATTTAGATTGGATACTCATCACTTTATATTTTAAGATTTTTTTCTTTTATTTTTAATTGAACTTTTTTATAACCCTCAATATCATTGTCACATTATAAACTTTTAAAAGTTAAGAAAAAACGATTGATTTCATATTATTTTAAATCAGAAAGTACATCTTTTACGACGTTAACAGTTTCATCATGAAGAATTCCATTAGAAGCGACAATACCATGATTGTTACAAAGAGTTCTTCCAAGTGAAAAGTCAAGGTCATTACCATAAATATCAGTAACTTTTCCTCCAGCTTCTTTAACAATTAAATAACCAGCAGCGTGATCCCAAATCTTTTCTTGATAAGAAAGATTACGTGGAAGTCTTAAATAAACATCAGCTCTACCAGATGCAATTGCCATATACTTACATTGAGAATCCATACGTACTGGTGGTTTAGTAACTTGTAATCTCTCAGTAATAGTTTTAGAACGAGATTGATCAGTATGAGACACTTCAACAGATTCACAGAAACACATATCAGATGTTTTTGGAGTTGTTGAGACATGAATATCTTTTCCATTCTTAATATCATTCACACTAAACATCTTAGCACCACATCCTTTTTGTGCAGCAACAATTAAACCACCTTCAAAATTAGGACATCCAAGAACTCCAACTTTAATATCACCATCAATCATAAATGCCAAACAAACAGCATATTGTTCTCTTCTTAAAAATCCAAGGGTTCCATCAATTGGATCTAAGACCCAATGTCTTCCTTTTCCACCAGTACTATTTCCAAGATCAATAGACTTTCTAATCTCATCATCTTTCATATCTGAATATATTTGAACGTGTTTACAAACTTTAGCAAATATATCTTCTGGAATAGTTTTAGTATCTTCTTCAGCAACAATTTGATCTTCTGGGAAAGTTTCATGAATTTTTTTATTTACGTAAGCTTGAACTGAATAATCTCCAACTGTTACTGGTGATTTATCATTTTTAATTTGAGTTTGATCAGTTAATGTATGTTCTGCTACTGAAGTAGTGATTTTACATGATACTTGTACAATTTCTAAAGCAAGTGCAAGTTCTTTATCAAATGACATTTTGTTTATTTTATTTTAATTTTTTAGTTCTTATTTCCATCTTGAAAAGGTTCAAAAAATGAACTTATTTTTTACTTCTTTCTAAATAGAATTTTATATTTTTTAATCATTCTTGTAATATAAAACAAAATTATTTTATTTTTATTGGATTTCTTTTAATTGTTAATAATAAACTAATAAATTAAGTGTTAATAGAATTTTCATATATTTTTTGAAAATCTTAACAAATTTTTATCAAAAAAATATTAAGGAATATATTTTATTTGGAATTAACAAAATCTAAATCTTGAGGTTTTAACTAAGTTTTAATTAAAAAAATTAATTAATATTTTTTTGAAATCAAATTTTCATTAATTGTTTTCTATTAATTAGTCTTTTATTTTATAAAAAGAAAGAAAAATTTATTAATTTTTCAAATAATTTTCATAAATATAGAAATTATTAAATGACAAGATTCAAAAATATTTCTTTTTTTAGTTTTAAACGAAAAAAGACTATAAGAATATACATGATCTAAAAATCATTAAAATCAATTTTTAGTTTAAAAAGAGACAATTAAATATAAAGGGTAAAAAGAATACAATAAAACATAAGAAAAAGTAATAGAGATAATTTCCAATAAAAGAATAAACAGAAATGAAGAAGAAAAACAATTCAATTTTTATCAACAATTTTCAAGTTTATTGTCGTTCACCCCTAATTCTACGGGCTAGTTGCATATCTTTAGGCATAATAGTGACTCTTTTAGCATGAAGTGAACATAAATTAGTATCTTCAAAAAGACCAACAAGATAAGCTTCAGCAGCTTCTTGAAGAGCAGCAATAGCAGCAGATTGGAATCTTAAATCTGATTTTGATTGTTGAGCAATTTCTCTAACTAAATGTTGGAATGGTAATTTTCTCAATAAAAGTTCA